GCTGTGCCCTGGGGGCTGTGCCCTGGGGGTGTGAGCTGTGCCCTGTTCCCTGTGAGCTGTTCCCTGTGAGCTGTGCCCTGGGGGCTGTTCCCTGTGAGCTGTGCCCTGGGGGCTGTTCCCTGTGAGCTGTGCCCTGGGGGCTGTTCCCTGTGAGCTGTGCCCTGGGGGCTGTGCCCTGGGGGCTGTTCCTTGGGGGCTGTGCCCTGGGGGCTGTGCCCTGGGGGTGTGAGCTGTGCCCTGTTCCCTGTGAGCTGTTCCCTGTGAGCTGTGCCCTGGGGGCTGTGCCCTGGGGATGTGAGCTGTGAGCTGTTCCCTGGGGGCTGTTCCCTGGGGGCTGTTCCCTGTGAGCTGTGCCCTGTGAGCTGTGCCCTGGGGCTGCTGGTTCCCTCAAGGCTCTGAGGAAGGCACTTTCCCCCAGGAGGGGGTCTGCCCGGTGGGCTGAGGCTGCTGCCTGCTGCTCTCTTCCAGGTGGCAGACCTGCTGGTTCAAGGTGGAGCTGAGCATCCCCCCGGCGTGGGCAGGGCGGGAGGTGCACTTGGTGTGGGAGAGCGATGGGGAGGGCCTGGTGTGGAGAGATGCCCAGCCTGTCCAGGTGAGGAGGTGTGGGGAACTGTGGTTTCCAGCTGCTCCTGGCTCCCTGCCACGGGGCAGGGCAGTTTCTCTCCCTTCCCCCTCTGCTGTGGGGGCAGGAGAAGAACCCTCACCTTTGTTATGCACCTGGGGAGCAACACCTGCATGTGAACCACCAATAAATGGACATCTAGACTGCAAGGTCATGAGCAAAAACCAGAAGGGTGTGTCATTTTAGGAGGCTGTCAGCCTGAAGCAAATCATCTCTGAGGCACTAGGAGGAGAGCTGAACCCTGAGAGAAACCCTGATGCACAGAGAAGGGCTGTGTTTGTGGAGGGTCTGGAGTGTGGGGTGGGAGGGGGGAGCTGTGCTGGTGGTTTAAATGCCTCAGAGGGTCTGTGGGCTCTTCCCAAAGTTCAGCCCAGAAAGGGCAGCCTGTGTTACTGCTTTGAGTCATGTTTCTTAGAGGTTGCCCTCTGCCAGGAGTTAAAATTCTGGTCTACCAACCCATCAGGCTGCAAAAGCCTTGCTTGGGCATTGGCAAATTGTCTTGGAAGGAGGCTGGGCAGGCACAGGGCCTGGCTGTGCATCTTCACTGCTGGCTGGAGCACTGGGACAGGCTCTTGTCACACATGGCTCCTTCAGTCCTGCTTTGGCAGGGGTGGAATGGCTTGGGTGACCTTTTGTAACTCTGTGTGTGGTGTGCACTGGGTGTGTGTTGCTGCTGGGGCAGCAGCAGTTTCCCTGCCCCTTGTTCTTGTGGGAAGCATTGTCCCATGGCACATGGGACCAGGCCCCTCCATCCAGCTGGGTCCTCCATCCAGATGGATCCTCCATCCTGTCAACCCAGCCCTCTGCTGTGAACCTCTGGTGTGTTAAATGTGTCATCTTCCCCCCACAGGGTTTGACTAAGGAGGGTGAGAAGACCAGCTACATCCTGACAAGGAGCCTGAAAGAGACAGAGCCTCACAGGTGGGTGGTCAGCATGGCTGGAGCCCCACAGGTGGGTGGTCATTGTGTCTGGAGCCCCACGGGTGGGTGGTCATTGTGTCTGGAGCCCCACGAGTGGGTGGTCAGCATGGTTGGAGCCCCACGGGTGGGTGGTCAGCATGGCTGGAGCCCCATGGCTGGATGGTCAGCATGGTTGGAGCCCCACGGGTGGGTGGTCAGCATGGCTGGAGCCCCACG